ATCAGGTTTGCCCAATATGTGGAGAAATTCAGGAAATGAAAAGAACATGTTCTCCGTTTGATATTAGAATTCCTTCTGTGGAGTTTAAATGCATTTTGTCGTCGTTGTATTTGTGCATGGTACAAGTGACAACACTGCTTAATACAGTGAGCAATAAGAATTAGGTATTATCCACTTTCACATTAAACCTGCCACATGCAACCATTCCCCAAGGCCATAGAATGTATTTTAGTTTGGTTTTGCCCTGTATGTTTTACTGTGTGAGATTACAGATTTTTTTTGTTGACTGTCTTTAGCTCCAACTAAATGGGAACAGTAAACAACCTCTCTGATCAAAATCCAGTTTAATTTGATTTTATTGGCTAGCCTGTACTCCGGCCTGGTACTGATTTTCCTTCTTTTTAATCATACCTTACTTAAACAAGGAAAAAGCATTGAAGGGATGCTACACTCACGTGTCTCACTCCAGGCCATGTTTCCTTTCGTTAGGTCAAACTCGTTCTGTGAACATCTCTCTCAAGTTGTGGAATAGATCCAGGTGCACAGAGATACCCGCGAATCTGTTACGAAACCCTGGTAGTTTCAGGCTGGGTGGTGATCATGGGGTTTTGAGCAGTTTTTGGGGTTCATTGCATTGCCACGCTGTCCAGAAAAGGCTGCAAACGTGTGTGGAAAACTTGGCCCCTCGGTTGCAGAACTCCTTCAAAAGAGCGTTGAAGATGGTGACTCGGAGAGGACTCTCGGCAAAGACTCTTCCAAGCAGCAGCCCTTTAGCACTTGCTCTCCCTGTATGCAGTGTTAGCCATGTTTGGCCTATATGGACTTTCTTTGTAAATTAAAACTCTGTTTCCAGACAGCATTAAACTTTTTATATTATGAAATTTACCATGTAAAAAGATTTTCATATTTTTATTGAAATTGCTAGGGCATTTGGCCTTCTTTCTTTGTGATTTCAGTGTCTATTAAAGCATGAGTTCTCTCAGTACTGTAGTCTCGTGGTCTAGGGTGATGTTGGGGAGGAATTGGGTAGCCCACTGCACTCTGTCCCGATTCCCAGCTGCTCTCTGCTCTGTTCCTCTCGCCCACTCCTGAGAAGCAGAGAAATGAAGTGTAAATCTGCGTTCTGTGGTGAAACAGGACTCGCGTACGGCGGCTTCAAAGTGAGGGCTCGCTGAGAGCTTCCTCTTTTTGTGGCAGAACGTGGTGTGCCTGTTACAAACCATGATTGGAACTTGCTTTTCCTTTTCCTAGCAGGTGGTGGGAGCGTCGGTATGTGTTCGCTGTCTGTCTTGTAGTCAGCAGCAAAAGGACACCTAGGGTTGGAAGGAGCTTCAAGGATCTCCCAGACCCATCCCTCCGCTGTGGAAGAACCAAGTGCTGAAGGTATGATCTGTTTTCCCCATATCGATGCCCGCTGGAACTTGCTGACTTAAATCCTCCCTCTGCCCCCGTGTGAGAGGAGCCTTTGTGCTAAGGGGAAGTGTTGGTGACCAGATGAAACTAAACAGAATTTGACTTTTTCTATGGTCTCAGAAGTTCCCGTTGTCACCTGTCTCCCAGTTGTATAAATGCAGCCTCTGGCCGTGTTGATAGAACACACAAACCACACTCTTGGTCGTGACACAGCAGGCTCTTGCTGGCCGGCGGTCTCTGCCTTTCATCCAAAATCTTTGACCTGCTGAGAATGAGGTGAGCTTGAACAGTGTAAATCACTGCAGCTTCCTGGCACCAGCGCTTTTAAGGGCCCTTTCCTGGCACGTGTCTGAAGCAGCTGATTCCCTGTGTTCAAAGGCGTGGATGGTGCAGCCCCCAAGAAGGGTTTTATAGGTGGCTGCATCAGCTTCATCCTGCTCTTAGATTGCCTACAGCCTGGTGACACGTCCAGTGTGAATCAGGAGGCAGATGATGTGGAAGCCTTTGCTTCTCCTGTCATTGATACTAAGATACTGCCCCTGTGCTGCAGAGGTGCAAGAAAGTCCTGTTCCTTTCAGAGACACGGAGTCCTTCTTCTAGCACAGCAGGTGTGGGAAGAAGTCAGTTCGCTGCAAACACCCCAGCTCTAGTTCTGTCCTGTGACTTTCCCCAGATGGCCTCACTTTCTCATTGTGTCTTTATGTATTCTCCAAAGAGAAGAACTTACTTTTTTATATCGCTGCCAGGAAGAGCACCAGCCGCCTTCTATTACATGATGACATCATTTGCATGTGGTTTTATTGGTGAACGGCTGTGGCTGGTGTGTCAGTGGACTCCAAGGAAGCTGTTCTGCAGGGGACTGCAGCAATTGCTGCTGGTACAAGCCAGAAGCATACGGGGCATTGCATTCTCTTTAGCAAGTCTCTCCCGTGTCCTCCTCTGAGGAGCCCTTGGAGAGGGATGGTTGTTTTCCGGTGGCTGGCAGCAATCTTTGAGAATTATCCATCGCAAACTTCTCTTCTCCTCTTGGATGGTCTTCAGGCTTCCAGTGCTCTGTGGCCAAGAGAGAGCTGGTGGGGGAGCACATGCCATGGCCAGAACATGCAGGGATACCTAAAAAATACACCTACAGCGAGGTGGGGGTGGAAAAAGGCCAACTGGTGGGGTTGGGCACGTGAGCAGCCACTGCGCAGAGCTGGCAGGTCAGCTGGGAGAACTCCAAGTACTTGGAAATGTGGGAGTTGGGGTGTACTGACCTTGCCTACTCTGCTCCTGAATCCTGGGGCAATACAGCCTGTGTGCTTGAGTGCACAACTTTGATCTTGTAGCATAAGAGGGAGGCTGTTTAAAGACTAAAAAGCGTGTTCTCGTTTTCAGTTCATTGCGTGGAAATGTTTGCCGTGGTTACAAATCTCTCTTTGGTCACAGGAGGAGGAACAGGGGCCTGGGAACTGGGAGGAAGGAAGCAATTTTATTTCAGAGAACTGATGACGTCCCCTGTGGTCACCTGGAGGGTTGGGTGCAGGTAATTGTCCTGCTGCCGTCGGTGGGAAAGTGTTGGAGCAAGAGCAAAGCTGGAGACCAGAGGAGGGGCACAGGAACTTCAGGAGTGGGCAAGTTCCTGAGGGCCCTTCAGAGTCACACACAGAGCGGTCTCTGAACGACTCCATGGAGACACAAAGTTAGGGACAGCAGGGACCTGCCCAGGGACCCGGCTCATGGTGTGACACACCGTGACCCAGTGTCCCTCCAGCAGCTCCCCTTGTAGAGTTCCTGAAGCAGCAGTTTAATGCCACCGTCCCGCTTCACGTGCACACAAATCTTCATCCAGGCAGCGGGACGTCTCAGCAGGCTCAACCGCTGGCAAAAGCCAGGAGCCACTTCACTGAAGACATTATTCCTTCCTCGGGGCAGGCCTGGGCTGGAGGACTCCCAGGAGGAGCAGTTTGCTGGGGAAGCATCCCCTCCACGAGCAGAGGCTGTGGTGAAACTGTATGGGCTGGTCTGAAGTGGTTTGTGTGTGTGCAGGGTCTGGAATCAGCAGGATGCAGCTACTCAGATGATAGTATCGTGTGTGGTAGAATCTAGATATAAACAAAGAGAAGAAGGGTTTTGGGGAGAGCACACATGGCAGCTGCCTGAGTAAACAAAAGACAAATGTTGCCCATATGGGGAAAGAGCAGCAGCAGGGGACTGCGCTCAGCCAGGAGCCTGAAAAACCAAATAAAGGAAAATTCTGAATGCTTGAGAACTTCGGGAAACAGACACTTAAAGCCCCACCACTGTGCCCTGGCACAGCTCTTTGTAATTTCTGTGCCTCGCAGACTAAGCCAGTGCAGGGATAAGTCTGAGCAGCAGTTTCCATAGCATCCGTCTTTCCCGTTGCGAGAGACTTGAATGAAATATGTTTTCATAGGCAGAGCCTATTGGGGATTTTCATTAAAGCCATTTATCTGTGGGAGGGTTGTTTGGCAACACTTAATTTTCCTATCTGTGAATTTCTGCTCTCCTTTGCTCTAGCGGAGTTGATGTGTAAATAATGGTTAGCTCTAGCTCCTGGCACATGGCTCTTGGTGAAAGTGGCTTCTCCAGGGAAAGGGTGGGCAAGGGCGAGCCTGGACGTAGGGCCAGTAGCTGCTCCTGGGGAAAAGGATGCACTTCTGACATGGGAATGTGGATGTTGTGCCGAGACGGATGCTCAACGACACCTTTCTCTTGTCAGCAAAGGGGCAGCGTTACTCCCAGTGACAACCTCTGCAAGTGTCAACGCTGCGAACTGTCCCACAGCCAGACCTACTTCCACTTTTTGAGGACTCGTTTCCCGTCCGCAGTGCCACACTGCAGTCTCACCCTCCCTTTTGTCTCATCCTGAAACGTGGGGTATTTTTCCTTTCCTTTTTACCTGGTCTAGTGTTGGTGTGAGCATTTTGACCAGCAGTAAGGCAAAAGGTGGCACCAGCACCCCCTGAGATACGAAGGCGATTCCTCTCCTCAGGGACCAGTGTTTCAGGTTCTTTACAGGCTCGAGGGGCTGAGGATGAAGAGCAGGACACCTCCATCCCTGGGAGGAGAGAGCCCCCAGGTCCATGTTTGCCTGCCACAGTGGGTGGATGTGGTGCTGAGGGACATCTTGGAGGTCTTTAAGAAACGTGTAGATGTGGCACTTTGGGGCTTGCTCTAGTGGCTGAGGTTGTAGGGTGGGGGTTTTTTGTGTGTGTGGTTGGACTCTGGTCTCACAGGTCCTTTCCAACCATGACAATTCTGTGATTCTGCGACATGGTTTTGGGATTTTTTTTCTCAGAGTTAGGTTGGTGGTTGGACTCGATGATCTGAAAGGTCCCTTCCAATCTCGACTATTCTATGATTATTTCTACTCTCAGGGCTGATTTCAGCCCTTTTTTTAATGCCTCTGAGGCCTAAGACTTGTAGGCTCTATCCGTTTTTTTTAAATGAACGCCGATGGTTAACGGCACCAGCAGCTCTGTGGGACCGGAGGGTGCGGGGGGGCTGAGCCCGGCAGCGGCCGAGGCTTGTTTTTCTGTTGTCCGTGTGTCGGTCCGTTGACTTCTGTGTCGGTCCCTTGATTCATGCCGGGTGTCTCCGGTATCAACGCGATAAAAGCTGTTCTCTCGCAAGAGGGCGCCATTGGACACGGTAACGGTGGCTCCTCCTGTCGCACCCTCTAACGGAACAGCGGAGATCTCTGGCCCTTCACGGAGGCACCAGTGATTCCCTCCCTCGTTTATTGTCTTTTCATTTTTGTGGCAGAACAGGGGCAAAGGGACAGAGGTAAAGGAACAGTGAACCACAAGAAAAGGATTTGACAGGCTGAGAGACCTGGGGGGGTTCAGCCTGGAGAAGAGAAGGCTCCGGGGACACCTTAGAGCCCCTTCCAGTCCCTCAAGGGGCTACAGAAGAGATGGGGAGGGACTCTTGATCACAGAGGGGAGTGACAGGATGAGGGGGAAGGGTTTGACACTGAAAGAAGAGATTTGGATTAGAGATTAGGAAGAACTTCTTTGGTGTGAGGGTGGTGAGAGCCTGGCCCAGGTTGCCCAGAGAAGCTGTGGCTGCCCCATCCCTGGAGGGGTTCAAGGCCAGGTTGGAGGGGGCTTGGAGCAACCTGGTCTGGTGGGAGGTGTCCCTGCCCAGGGCAGGGGGTGGCACTGGGTGGACTTTAATGTCCCTTCCAACCCAAACCATTCTATGATTCTGATTTTGCCTGAAACAGTCTGTGTAAGGAAATTTTAGCTTCCCTACCCCTTGCCATTCCACACCCCCCCCCAAAAAAAAAAGAGCTGAGGTGGCATTGCTGGCAGAGGAGGAGCCTGGGTGTCAGGTCAGTGATGGTGCTAAAGCAGAGGGTGCACATGGCACCCAGTGTGAGCAGCGGGTGTGGGGCACGGCTCGGTCACGGGGCACCCCCTCCTCGGTGTGCCCGCTGCGGGAGGAAAAAGGAGTCACCATCTCAACTTCTGGTTCCCCTGACGCTGCTTTACCAGGAGCCACTGCCCCGGGGGAGCGGCTTCTGTCAGTGAATGCAATTACACTTTATTGCAAGGAATTAGGAAAATGAGTATTTTTAGCACCAAGAACTTGAACAAGTATTTTTATTTCAATGAGCCACTCCTCAGCGTTGGCTGGGCCGCGCTGCTGTCACACGCCAGCTTCATTAAGCGTGACCAAAACGGGATCTTAATTACCAGCCCCGTTGCCTTCCGGGGCCGCAGCTCTAAGCGCCTTCCCAGCGGCGCGGCGCCTCGTTAGGCCGCTCCAGCACGTACAGCGGCGGCGGGCGACGGCGGGGGCGGCCGGCCGGCCCCACGGCAGGTCCCGCGGCCCTGCTGCTCGGAGCGAGAGCCGCCCCGCCGGGCCCGGGCACAGAGCGGTACCGGGGCAGGGCCGGGCCGGTGGCGGTGTCCCCCGGAAGCGGCACCGGGAGGGAGCCGGG